CTAGCCCATTTACATGAACTATTCAGAAAGATAAACCTCTAGAGGTAGAAATTAGGTTAATTATTGTCTGGACTGGGACTTGGAAAATGATGTGGCTGTACGTGATACCAGAGATCTTTTAAAAACTTTTTATTTTGAGCCGGGGTTTTTCTATGTAGGTTAGGTTGGTTTTGAACTCACTCTGTAGCCCAGGCTGGCCTTGAACTTGCAGTGATCCTCCTGCCTCTATCTTCCTAGAGGTGTGATTATAGGTGTGCTCCACTAACCCAGATTATGGGAATTTTTTTCAATCATTTTATTGGTATGCTTTAAATATACATAATGATCACATTCATCATTCAGAATTTATACCTGTACATCGTAAACTTATATTACATCGTAACACTTTTTTCCTATTCCCTTCCTCTTCGTTCAACTCCTCCTCCCCTCATTTACAGAAGCTTCATTTGCAGGGCTGGGGATTTAGCTCAGCGGCATAAGTGCCTGCCTTGCAAGCAGGCAGTCGTGAGTTCGATCCCTGGTACCGATAAAAACGAAAAGACAAAACAAAACAAAACAAAAAAAAAAAAAAAAAAAAAAAAACAAAAAACAAAAGAAGCTTCATTTGCAAGTTTTCCTTCTTTACTCATTTTTTGTACTTTTCCCCTCTTTCCTTTTTCCCTCCTTCCTTCCTTGCTCCCCTCTCCAACTGAACATTTTCTTCCTACTTCATAATATCTATTGTACATTTTGGTGCTTATTTATACTTTTGGTTTCTCACATCAGGGAAATAATGCGTATCTGATTCTGAAATAAGAGTATGATCTCAAGGTGTATCCATTTACCTAGGGATGTCTCAAGCTTATCCTTCTTTATGGTAGAGTAGTACTCCATTGTATAAAAAACCCTCATCTTTAACCATTCATCAGTTGATGGGCATTTGGGCTATTTCAAAGATTTGGCTATTATAAATTGTGTTGCTATAAGCTTGGGTATGATGCTTTTAATGTTTTGGGGGAGCTTTTTTTTTTTTTCCTGAAACAGGGTCTCCCTGTGTAGTTCAGGCTGGTCTTGAGTTCACTATGTAGAGCAGGCTGGCCCAGAACCTGTAATGTTTCTCCTGCCTCAGCCTCCCTGCATGTGCTACTGGGCCCAACTGGGGATCTGTTTGTAATAGTTGCTCAAGAATCATTTAATTCCACTCTAAAAATAGATGAAATTATACCTCAATAAAACTATTAATAATAAGCATACATATTACTTATTATTTGAAATGAGTGAAATGACTAAATTCTGTCCAGGCAAAAGCAATTTTTATGCTTTTAACTTTTAAAATCAATATGACAGGTTCTTAAATCTTTGCTTCTATTAGGGTTACAGGGCTTCTATCATTTGGAACCAAGAAAGCTGAGCTTTTTATTTTATTTCAATATATTTGTGCAACATAAAAAGTCTTCTAAATTACCTGTCCCTCAAATCACAGCAATGATCACACCTCCATGAAAAAGCCAGATTAAAATCAGCTGATAACTTGCACTTACTCAAATGTTATCCTCACAAGATTACAACCGTTAAGCATACTACGTCATTGCTTTACTGAAGAAGACACAGTAAATAGTGATGTAACATACTGTTGTTACAGATAGCAACAAAATCACCATAAAATCTATGTGTATTCACATATTCCAGCCTCATTAATGTGAAGAATAGTCTGGTGATATTTCTAAATTGGCTTTTTGAATTAAAGTACCATACCAAAAAGATAAAAATCGTAAGAGACCCATAGCATAAGTAATTCCAAAGTTAAAATAAGGGCTCTTAACAGAATGTGCACACAAAACAACTCCAAAGTCACTTGAATATTTATAAGAACTCCCTGTTGCAAGTGATAAAGCCCTAACTTGACCTAGTTTAAGTCAAAAAGAGGATCATATTTAGTCACGAACACAGTGGAGGGGAAGGGGAGATGGATGTGGATTCCTCTCTGTTTTTGTTCTTAGTAAATCTCCATTGTCCCCCAAACAGCCTCTGTGCGTGAACTTCTCCCAACCCTGGATCCCTAATAACGCCACAAGAAAAGTACTCTCTTAAAAGCTCGCCTTCGGCGGAAAACTCTGGCCCACCCAGTTGATAGCCCATGTTACCTCTGTTACCAGAAGGGAGAGAAGAAAATAGCCTCTGAGAACATGAACATGCAATATGGTTGGAACAGTATCAACTTCTAAATTTTTGTCTGGCTTCCAAGTAGAGATCACATCTCCATGAGTATGGGAAGTTCACCAATTCTAATGACAATTGTTGACATTCATACTGTAAGTAACATAAACAAGGTATTTAAGATTCATGACAACCCCAAGAAGTTCTTATTATTCCTGTTATTGTTATTATTCCTATGTTACAAGCAGCAGTGCTACCTTTCATTTACAGCGTTCAAAAGATAAGGACCCTGGGAGAAAAAAAAAAATTCATCGTTCTTGCGTGTGTGTGTGTGTGGGTGTGTGTGTGTGTGTGTGTGCCTTCCCTCCTCTTCTCCTTTTTATTTTTTCTACTTTTTATCTGTACCAGAGATCGAACTCACAACTGCATGCTTGTGAGGGAGGCGCTTACGCCGCTGAGCTAAATCCCAAGCCCCTCTTCTCTTTGTTTAAATAATTGAACCCTTTAAAAGCTTGCTACACTTAATTGCAACTATATTAACTGCAATTCTCTTATTTGTTTAATATCAAAACAAGGACATTTTCAGTAAGTTTCTCAGCTCATGGTTTAGGAATATTTCTGGGAAAAAAGTTTGACAATACAGCAAGAGTTTGACCTATATTGACTCCTCTAGACTGGTCTGTGCAACATTGTTAATGCTCAGCAGCCTTTTAGAATCGCTTTTATTATCATATTGTCCTAATTATCTTTTCCTTTCTTAAAAACCAAGCCAAACCAAAACCAAATAAAAAGCAAAGCAAAACAAACTCGGGAGAAAAATTTCTTCTCTGTGTTTCTACTAAATCCCGGGAGCTTTCCACCCTGCCTTACTCAGAAAGTGCCAATTAGTTCATCAAGTGCTGCTTGAGCTACTAAGAATTGCTTTCATCTGGAGCTGAGGCTAACTTTGGAAACACAAGAGCTATGCTGCCTGCTGTGTGTTTCTGGACATATAAGTCACCTCCTTTTGTTTCTTCTCCTAGTACCTACTTAATGTAGGTACTAGTACCTATGTTAGTACCTACTCTTAGTACCTACTTATTATTATTATTATTAACACAGAGTCTTGCTATGCAGTCAGGATGGTCTTGAGCTCACTTTGTAGCCTAAACTGGTCTCAAACTTGCAATAATCCTTCTGCTTCAGCCTCCCGAGTGCTGGAATTACATGCGTGGACCACCATGACCAGTTTTTTCAATAGAATTAATTATTGAGAGAACTGAAAGAAATAACATGTAAAGAACTGGCAAATACAAAACTGGTTCTTTGCCTTCTAGAAATTTACGAATTAATGATGTGGTATCTCATTGAGTAAGTGTGGTATCTCATCAGAGAAGTCGAGGCTGCCCTACACCGCAACTTTTTAAGAAAGGAAATGACTTGAGGAGACATTGCCACAATAGGGTGTGGGTAAGAACTGGGAACAAGGACAGACAGGCAGGGCAGGACTAGACAAAAACACTAAACAAGACAGCAAACGAGCTGGGCTGGTGGCTGCGATAGGATGATCGTTTAAATTCGTAGTTCAAGTCCAGTCTGGGCAATGCAGTGAGATCCCTTAAAGATAAAATAAGGCAAATAAACAAAACAGTGAACAGGCCCCAAAGTATCTTTAATATAGTAAATTTGTTGTACCACCGGGAAATAAGGATGGAAATGTACATATGTACAAGATTTGGAATGACAGAATGTGAGGTGCTGTGTATAATTGCTGTGTGTAATTCTTACAGCACATGTAAATAAAGAAAAAATGTGCTCTTATTAAAGATTTCGGGCGATTCTGTTATTTCAAGAGCTCTGAAGTTTGAAAGTTGAGAGTGGGGGAGGGTCATACACGCATAGAGGCGGGGTCAGGCGGGTGGGAGGGGCGAAGAGCAGGCGCCGCAGCCCCAGGGGGGCGTGTCCGGGGCGGGGCCGCGGGGAGGTGCGCGCTGTGCGGGGTATCGCGAGAGTTGGGCGGGCCGAACCGAGCCGTCGCAGCAGTCAATTCCCCCCTCCTGGGAGGAGCGGCTGGCCTTGGGCGCTCCGAATTCTGAGCTCTCATCATGGCGGCGGCCGCGGCGGCCGTCGGGGGGACGCAGCAGCCCCAGCCCGAGCTGCCCGCGCAAGGGTTGGCCCTCGACAAGGCGGCCACTGCGGCGCACCTGAAGGCGGCCCTCAGCCGGCCGGACAACCGGGCAGGTGCCGAGGAGCTGCAGGCGCTGCTGGAGCGGGTGCTGAGCGCCGAGCGGCCGCTGGCCGGGGCTGCGGGAGGCGAGGGGGCGGCGGGCGGCGGCGGGGGCGGCCCGGGCGCGGCGGAGGAGGAGGCCCTGGAGTGGTGCAAGTGCCTGCTGGCCGGCGGAGGCGGCTACGAGGAGTTTTGCGCGGCGGTGCGGGCCTACGACCCCGCGGCACTGTGCGGCCTGGTGTGGACGGCCAACTTCGTGGCCTACCGCTGCCGGACGTGCGGCATCTCTCCCTGCATGTCGCTATGCGCCGAGTGCTTCCATCAGGGCGACCACACCGGACACGACTTCAACATGTTCCGCAGCCAGGCCGGGGGCGCCTGCGACTGCGGGGACAGCAACGTGATGCGGGAGAGCGGGTGAGCTGGGCCCTCTCCGGGCGAGGCGACCCTGTAGGGCGGGGACACGCGGGCGGCTCTGGCCCAGGCACAGGGCGCAGGGTGGGAGCCGACCCCCAGCTGTCAAGCAACGCGCGTGGGGGAGGGCGCAGCTGCAGGGCGATGGAGGTGACTGAGCTGTCAGTGCTGGGGAGGGGGTGGAGAGGAGGGGAGAGCGAGTGCGGGGAGCTGGGCTGTGGGTTTTCAAGGGGCCAGGGTGAGAGAGTGAGAGGGAAGGAGGATCCAGTGCGCGTGGTAAGAGGGGAGGATACTGGCGGAGTCTGTTGTGGAGCTGTCAGTTGTGTACTTGTTGGGAAAGGCTGGAAAGCTGTCAGCTTGTTTCTTGAGAACAGACTTGGGAAGTGGTTTGGATTGACTGGGAGCGAGTGGTTTGGGGAATTGAATGGGGCCAAACGATGATCAGAGCTGGGGAGGTAGTCTTGGTTCTGCAGGAAAGGACGCTTGGGGAAAAGGCTTCTGAATTTTCAGGGTAGCTGTCCGAGTGAGGAAAGGAGCTGAGCTGAGCGGAGTTGTCGGAGGAGGGAAGGGGAGGGGCCTGCATGAAAAGTGGCTGTTGAGCTGTCAGTGAAGTATTCGGTGTGCCCAAGTGACATCTAGAATTGAGCTACCGATTCGTCAGTTACAGAATACCCCTTCATACTAGAAGAACAAACAAAACACTGAGCGAATTACGAATCAAATGTTAGGTCCTCTCCAGATGAGGTCACATTAATCACTGCCTATGTGAATATCTGACTCGACAAACACATTTTTGACAAGAGCTTGCATTTTTAACAGGAAAGAAGCATCAGGTGTTGGTACTTAAAACAAAAAGAAAACATTCAGAGTTTGCAGTGAGTTAAAAGAGCCGCACATGTAGGATCTTGGCGTGGGACAGGGTGTCAGTGTCAGGGAAAAGTCCTGAGGAAAGAAAGCACTTTTGAAAAAATGATTTTGGCTGGGCAGTAGATGAAAGGACATTAGTAAATTCAGTTATTATTTTTTATATTTAATGATAGAGTACATATAAATTTAAAGAAATGGACACTTCATCTTTTTGGAATGATTTTAAGTTGCTGTTATTCTAACGTATTTTTACTTATTATGTTCAAGTAAGAAACCTTGAATATTTAAAATGAACGATGTTGACCTGTCCCTTAGTCTACTAATGCTAGTGTAGAAAGTGATAACTTCCTTAAATAGTGTGGAAGTTAGAGGAGATGGAGGGGGCTTCTGTGAACGGGGAATAAGAAAATGGTTTTAGAAGGAAAATGTTTGGCTAACGACCATAATAAATGCAGGTAACATTTGAGATCTGGAAATGTATGCCTATGCCTGACATTTAGCATTTGAAAAATATTGAATAAAATATTCATATAGTGAAAAAAGCCTCAATCTTATAATAAAAAATACAGTTTGACTTTTTCCTATCTGCTCAGTTTATTTTCTTAGTGCAGGACAAACAGGGTTAACTGTGTTTCCAAATTTGTTGTCTCTTTTTATGTAAAAGGTAACATACATTGCAGTCTGCTACATCTTGTTTTTCATTTAGATATATTTTCATGTTAGTGTCCTCATTTTGTTCTGTAAAGGCTGCTGTATGATATTCCCTGAATTTGCCAATCTTAAAGTTTTGGTAGGCATTTAAAGGTTTCCAGCATAGAATAAGATGGTATGCCTACGTTTTTGCACCTGTGCAACAATATCAATGGAATAAATTCTTAAAGTGGACTTTCTAAATTGTCTTCCATAGGTACTAAGCACTATATGAGCTGCCTGTTTTTCAATAGCCATATTAACAGTGTTATTAAAACTGAACTTTTATCCATTTATTTGTTTAAAAGCAGTTGAATGTAACTGCTTTACATGATTTAGTTCATTTAATCTTTAGCAGTTTTGAGGTAGCTGCTTTTATTTTCATTTTACGGAAAAGGAAAGTTGACCACAGAATTTAAAAATTTGATCAAGTTGTTCCAATTGCTCATGTTTGTAATCTCAGCTACTGAGAGAGGCTGAGGTAGGATGATCATAAGTTCAAGTCTGGGCAACATAGCAAGAATGTGTCTCAAAATAAAATAAAAAAGGACTGGGGATGTAGCTCAGCACTCCTTGGATTCCATCTCTGGCAGTGCAAATAACCCCCACCCAAACAAACAAAAAACTTGCTGAAGATCACACTGGTGGTAAGCAAGGCTTGCTATCCCGAGTGTAACTGCGCAACCACTTCTTTCTTCTGCCTCTACTAAATAATACCCCCTCCTTCTTCAGTGATGCTAGGAATCAAACCCAGAGCCTTATTCTCAGGACTTTCTGTGTGCTAGGCAAGCGCTGTACTTCTGAGCTATATTCCCAGCCCTGTCAGTGAGTTTCTTTGAATGCCGTCATGTGTGGATTTAGGGCATCTAGGCTACATCCTAGTTTTGTGACATTTGTCTTTACTAAAATTTCAATAGAGCTCATTTTCTTCCACAGTGGCTGTCCATGAGTTGGTAAATAGTATTTGATGATTTATTATCTCTTTCTGAAATACAGAGCCCTTGTTTTGTACATGCCAGAATTGCCATGCTCAGTTTCATAAGGGGCAAGGGTTAAAAAAGAAATGGTATTGTAGCTATGTAATTATTTTGAAGTTTTTGTAGTTCCTTGAGTTGGTTAGAATGGTTGTGGGCTATGTACTTAATCCACTGCCTTATAGAGAGATATTTTAATGTTGGCCAGCAGAACAAAGTAAAATTCTGTTTGCGGAATCTTTTTAGAATTGGAAATCCATAAGTTATAATGGTGTCCTGGGTAAACAAACTGCTTTTCCAGCATGTGCAAAATTAATTTAACTTTTTAAGTTTTTATGTTAAAAGACAACCTCTTTAGGTTGTGAAAAACAGAAGCTATTTTTTTTCTTTTTGTACCGGGGATCAAACTCACAACCTTATGCTTGCCAGGCAGGTGCCTGTGCCACTGAGCTAAATCCTCAGCCAGAAGCTGTTTTTATTTGGGGGGTATTCTAATGGCCATAAAAGTTCGTAAATTTCATTAGTTTCACAGGAGGGATTCCATTTTTTTCCCCTCTGTGTTTGTGTTTACACTTGTTTTTATTAATAGTGTAATTGTTTTCAGTACTAAAAATTATATGCAAGGCCTTTTCTTATACTGTGGAAACTCCTTACCATTGAGTTATACCCCCAGCCCTTTCAGCTGTGTTCTTAGTAAAAGAAGAAATTGTGCTGTAGCTTAATCCTTTGTATGTGTCAGACTATGGTGGTAGAGTATTATATGATTGAAGATGGTCTGTTACAACTGTATTAATACTTAATTTTCAAATTTGCAGTTATAGAAATATGAGGGTTGAGTTAATTAGTAGTAGTGTTGGTATAATCAGTATAGTGATATTGTTAGATACACAAAAGAAAAAATTGAGGATTCATTTGTGAGATGATGTTATAAAGGTTATGGAGACTATCAGTGACTATGTATAACAACATAGTTTTTCTAGGGGTGGGGAATCCAACCAAAGCTTCACACATATTAGATACATGCTCTCCCTCTGAACTGCATGCCCAGTGATAAACAGTATAATTTTATTACTAGTGACTAAGTATAATCATTGTTGCAAATGGTTGATACATGGCTAAACTAAACAAAATGAAACAAAGCAAAACAAAACAGTGTGATGGAAAATCTAATGTCTGACTGTCTTGGTTTGGGCTCTGATGGGATAATAATCAGAAATGAGATTTTAAACATTTAGTTTTCAAATTTAATGCAGAGCTTGACTATTTTCTTTCTTTTTTTTTTGGTGCCGGGGATCGAACTCATGACCTCATACTTACCAGGTAAGTGCTTGAGCCACTGAGCTTAATCCCTGTTCCTTGATTATTTTCATATCTTGTCCAGTATTAAAAGATTTTGTTTTGTTTTTTTGCTTATTTTTCCTTTCAAATTCTAAGTTACCTAAGAAATAGAGACTACAGAGGCCAGCGTTGTCTCATATCTAGTAGACACTCAAGAAATGTTGATTTAAATTGAGCTATACCTGAACAGTTGCCCTAAGATTATACTGCTTTAGTTATTTAGGAGGTTGCATTGGTTATTAAGCCTGTAACAACTTTTCTTCCCCCCAGAGTTGTTCAGGGATACTTTTTTTCTGTTTTATTTAAGAATATATATTGGTTATTATATAAAATAAGTAAATCAAGCAAAAGATAAAAGGTCCCTTTTTCTATCTCATGCAGTGATTTCCCTCCTTTTTTTTTGGCATGTGAATCAAGCTTACAACTTCACACTTGCCAGGCAGGTCCTGTGCTACTGAGCTGTATCCCTGGCCTTCCCTTAATTTTGACCTTATTTATGCATTTAGAAGATGTTAGTTATAGTGTTAGCATCATTAAATGTTTTGTTGTTGGAGGCTTTTAGGTTTTTTGATACATGACAGTGCTAGAAATGGAATGTAGAGAGTGTCTGGTTATAGTACTATTCTCTTCAGAGTCTTGCTCTTTTCACATATTTATTGGATACTGTTACATATTAGTGCACATAGAAGTGTTTCATTTTCTTTTTTAAAAAGTAACATGGTATTCCACTGTATTTTCATATGTTTGTATTGTATTGTAGTTGATATAGTCAGTTTCTTACCCATAGATATTTACATTACTTCCAAGTTGGGGCTGTTGTAAACATTGTTGTAGTTTAGTATCCCTGCATGTACTTCACTGTGTGTCTATGTGAACATATATGTGAGGATAAATTTCTAGAAGTTAACTCTTAGTTAAAAGAGGCACTTGAATAGATCCCTTCAGAGAAATTAATTTGCATTCCTAACAGTGTATGGGTTTGTTTCTTTTCATCTTGCCCAATGTATGTGATGTTACCAGTGCTTCCTTTTCTTTTTCTTCTTTTTTTTAATAGCACTTTTTTTGTTATTTTTCTTCACAGAAAACTCAGTTGTGTACATTACCCAGTTCAGTGGCAAGTTCTGTACCTTTTGCCTTTTCCAACTTGGTGTGGACCATAGATTTTGGACCAAGATCATTGCCTCCTCAGTGATGATGGATCTCAAACCTGTCATTGTAATGGGTCCTGACAGCTCCCACCAGTTTAACCAGAGCTCCTTTTCACCTGAGTTAATCTTTGTGAAGACAGTGGTGGCACATGTGGATCTGTGGAATAGATGTCCTGGCCTAGCTTCCTCTTTGATAATGCAATAGGGGGTTCTGTCTAATGTGCTGGGCAGGAAGAAAGACAGCTTGCTTAATGGGACCTATGCCATGTGCAGTTACCACCAGCTGAGCCTTCCTGCTCTCCACCAGGGTTGCGATTAACTCTGCAAGAAGGACAGGTGGGCTCTTCGTGGTGGGATGCCCGTGGTTGGCAGCTTTCGTCTCTGCTCAGGCTGACATTTCCTGCTTCTGCTCTTCTTTTTCCTCTGGCCTATACTTGGGGGCCAGCTTATGTAGTTGAGTAGCTGTTGGACCATTCAGGGGTAGGTGGACTGGTTAATTGCAGGAGGCCCTTTGCTGCTGCAGCTGGATATGATAGCAGGACCATTTGACAAGGCAGGTGAGGTCCCTTTTGGGCTTGGATATCTTGTCTGGTGCTAAAATTGTTAGGCTTTTCCTCAGACATAGTTTACTATCTTCTTGGCCTCCTGCTTTTTTTGTGATAGCAGCAGAAGAGATGGCCTTTCTCTTCGCATTCTCTTTTAGCGTCTTGGATATCTGGAGCAAAGGGCTCTGTTTCTGCACTCTGGTAATCTAAGTGAAATATGATACCTTGTTTTATCTATTGTACTCCACTTCCTCACAGACTGGAGTATTATGAAGCAAATAGCAGATGTCTTACAATTTAATTTATAAATATTTAAGTATATATTTCATTAGAGAGGTATGAACTCTACATTAACATAAAACATAACTCAGATGAGTGATGAAACGGATCTCACACACACTAAATTATATAATTATATGTATATATTTGCATGGATTACATGTAGAATTTTCCTTACCACAAATCTGATGTTTTTCTCTGCAGTTATATACATTTAACTTACAACTCACCAATTCAGAAAAGAAAACCCTTAACACTTCTAGTGGTGAGTTTGTGGGAAGAAGAGCTGGGTCAATTTTACCTTTCTTTTTCTGTGTTCACTGTGTTCCCTTTTTTTTTTTTAACCCTAATTTGTTAGACATAGTGTGAATGTAAGATTCTACAGTGGCACCTCTAACAATTTTGTTTGTGACAGTGTGGTTCACCAAAAAAAATTGGCAAAATTTTGTTTTTGTTTGCAAACTGTACATTGGGTGACAGATATGACCGTGGCCATCTTTCTTGCTGAAACACAAATGTGGCTGTCTTTTCTAAGATCATGCAATGAATTTTTATGCATGAAGTTTATGAACCAAGGTACAGCTGTACAACTTGCTGGTAGTAATTTCCAGTCATCTTCATTGTGATGAAGTTTACATCACAGCAGTTTGGAAATCTTGTTAGGTGGTATGCATTTTTTTTTAGAGAATTTATAAAATTTCTTTGAAACTTTCAGATTATGTAACAATTTTAATTTATAGAAAAAAAATAATACAACAGGTACTTTTGTACTCACCACTGGGATTAATTGATGTTAATCTTTTGCCATATTTTCTTCAGAGCTTTTTTTCAACAAGCAAACTAAGGCCTAAACTTTGTTTCTTTTCCTTTTTTTCTTACTGGGGATTACCATTTTCCTGATATATCTGTGCTGTATCTAGGCATGTTTTTGTACTGCACTTTAACTGTAGGAAACAATATATACATAGTTTTATATTGTATGACTTTTTTGCAGTTTACTTTTTTCATTTAGCATGTTGCTAATATAGAGAAGCTCATTAATTTATAGCTACTTTTACATATATAGTATTATGGATAGAACATAGTTTACTTACTTTGTTTCTTTGCTGGACAATTTCCTTACATTTTTTAATTGCTTCCAAAGGGCCACTGTGAGCATCCTTGCATATGTCTCCTTGTGTAGAAGGATTAGAATTTCTTTAGGGTAGATTCCTAGGAGAGGAATTATTATGGTATAGATTATTCTGTTCTGCAGTATTACTGAATAGTTAATAATTGCATGCCAATGATTGACATAGTTTACTCTCAGTTATATTACTATCTGGAATCTATTTCTTTGTTTTTTTCCCTACCAAAAATTGGTGTTCTGATATAAATGTGTACTTTTGTCAACCTATTATCTATAAAACACAGTTGGGCTTCTCCTTTGTGGAATCCTGGTTAGTTCCTGTGAGAATGAGTTGTTATAAAAAGAGCAAACTGGACCTCTCTGGCTCTGTCTTGCCATGTGATCTCTTCTGCATATATTTCTGCTTTTGTTATCCCATCTGTCAGAGGCTGAACAGATGGGCTGCCTGATTTTGGGCCTTCAGTCTTCAAAACTGAGCCAAATAAATCATTTTTCTTTATAAAGTTCTAGCTTCAGACACTTTGTTATAGCAACAGAAAATGAACTTATGTTATAAAGTTTTAAAAAGAAAAATTTTTACAGTTTGTATTATTTATATCATTTATAGAGTTTTCACTTGTATTTTAAAGATAATCTTACATGACTTCTAAAAAATTTGTTTTATATTTCATATTTAGATCTTCAATTAATCTGGAATATATATTTACCTATAGTGTGAGATTGAAATCTAGTTTTAGCTTTTTCAATATGAAGGTAGTTATCCTGGTACCATTTAGTGAACCTTTTTCTTCCACTAATCCATAGTGCCACTTTGTCACATAACAGCTTCCTATATGTGTCCTGAACTCTGTTATGTTAATGTGTCTTTTGCAATAATATCACATTATTTTAATTATTTTAACATTAAAAGAAAAGTTGACATGGCAGAATTTCCATAACTCTCAGAAATGATTTTGACTACTTTTGGTTTCTAACTTTTTCATTTGAGTTTCAGAATCAGCTTGTGATATTCTGTGAAAGACTCCTGTTAGATACTGATTGGAATCACATTAAGTTTGAGGACCTGGCCAAAGGAGGCATATACAATAATATTCACTATTACACTGAAGTAGGGAAAATTTTGAACTGTGGTTTGATCATGGAATTAAATTATAAGTTGCTATCTGTATTAGTCCATTTGTGTTGCTATTACAAAATACTCAAGATGAGTAATTTGTGAAACAGAATTTATTTCTTACTATCTGCAGGCTGTGAAGCCCAAAATCAAGGTACCAGCATTTGACTTCTAGTGAGGATTTTGCATGGCAGAATGAATGGAATAGGCAAAGGGGACCTAAATGAGATCCTTCAGCCCTTTTAAAAGGCAGAACCATCATGATTTAAGTACTTTCCTAAAGGCCCTATCTCTTTGTTTTATTTTGTTGTTGTTGGTGGGGGATCAAACTCACAACTTTGAGCTTGCAAGACAGGTACTTATGCTGCTGAGCTAAATCCCCAGCCCTAAAGCCCTACCTCTTAATCTACCACAGTGGGGATTAAGTTTCAACATGAATTTTGGAGGCAGTACACTTTTAGACTATAGCATTTCACTGTAGCTTTGTGAAATTTATGTGTTTCTCACATACAAAATAAATGTATTCAATGCCAGTAGCCTCAACAATGTGTTCCAGCACCAGTTCAAAAGCCTAAAAGTCCAGATTCTCATCTGGATATTATCTGGATCATACTTTAATGAGACTTAAAGGTATTGTGGCAAATTCCTCTCTGGATGTGAATCTGTGAAGGCAAACAAGTTATATACTTCTGCCAGACAACAGAAGGACAGATAGGGCATTTCATTCCTAAAGACAAATAAGGGAAGAATAACAAGTCCTAAGTCCA